CAAGGCCATACACAATTTGCCGCAATTTGCCTTTCACCATTATATCCTCTCATCCATTTAATCCTAATCTTTGAAATGATGAATTATGCCACAAGGAACATTCATGAATAAGTCACTGTGGAAAAATGTATAAAAGTTTTTCTAAGATAATGTATCGACAGTATCTACTTTTCCATTATTCTTACCAGGTTTATTGAAGCATGTGTTGAATTCCTGATGACCTGTTGGGAGAAGTTTTGGATGTAGACAGTGGTATGGGATTATGAAGGACAAGTGTCTGAGGGTCTGGGTTAGTATCTCAAAGCACTTGGAGGAGGAATTTAATTCTAGCTAAAGAACTGGATCTTGAGCACAAGAGGAAAGAGGGTGATTTGTCAGCTTTCATCACCTTCACAAATACTTGATAAAACTGACTTATAAATAAGAAAGGTTTATTATTGGCTTACAGTTTTGTAGGTTCCAGTACATGATCTGTCTGGCACATTGCTTTTAGGCCTTTTTTGGGGGTGGTGGTGATAGTAACACATCATAGTAGGAGTGAGTGATGGAGCAAACTGCTCTCCTTGTGGCACAGAAATAAAAGAGAAAAAGGGAAAGTAGGGATCCCACTATCCCCCTCAAAGGCATGACCTAAAGATCTCCCACTAAGACCCACCTCTTAAAGGTTCCACAATCTCCTTATAACACACTCTGGGGAACAAGATTTTAACACATGGGTCTTTGGGATATAGTTCAGATCCAAACTCTAGCACTTGATTTTTCCTTTGCTCTGATGAACCAAAAACCTTACTTCACCTTGGGTTTGGGTAATTTGGTAGAAGAAAGTAACAAGACTAGAACAAATAAATGAGAACACTTGGAAGAAGTTGTTTGGTGGTTTAATTCAGCAATTTGTAAACCATATGTACAGAGAGTCAGGGTTCCCATGCAACCTACTCAAAGACCACCTGGAATGCACATGAGGGAGAATGACCAGGTAATAGGGTCTTCCCAACCTTGTTCACCCGGAGCAACTCCACTCTAACTGTATACTCTATGAACATCCCTGTAAAACTTTGCTTCAATGAATGTTTTGCAGCTACATGTATTTCTAAGTTCATATATACACTATACCAAGACAACTGAGTAATAAGACATATTTTATTTACTTATGAGTTTCCAAAACTGGATGTTCCAAGATTCTCTTTCACATGATGTCAAGAGGAAGCACTTAAATAGAGAATGAGTATCCTGGGTTTAGTGCTGCTAGCAATAATCCATCGTCCCCATATTTCTAAAGGCACACCAAATTGAGGGTGTAAATAAATTAAGAAAATAATAGTATTAAGGCATGAAACTATGGACTTGATCCAAAAAGCAGGCAAGAGGGACAGATGGGTTATACTCAGAATCACCTAGTGTCAGCCGACCATTAAACATAACTTACATGACTTTCATCTCAATTTGGAATTATTTAATTCTGAGAAGGCCTCTCTCTGGTGGCCTCCACACTCAGAACAGGCCCATGAAAAATTACATGGGACAATAACAGGCCATATTACTTCTACACTAGCCAGGGAGCAAGCACCTGAAGTTTTCAATATGGGGGCTGCTTTCTGAGAATGATAATGTACAAAATACTATATTTTCTGTATTCTTTAGATTTATAACCCATTAATACTGCCTTGCAACAAGTTATTTGGTTTTGAAAAATCATATGACCTGAAGATCTCCCACTAAGACCCGCCTCTTACACCATAGAATCTTTTCTCTTGAAAACAGGTCTATAGTTTGTATTAATAGAAAATTGGTTTGCAGACATTTTTAACTAAATAAGTATGACATAACTATTTTTTAAATGTTCACTTAAAAGATTCAAATTATTACCCTTCCAGTAGCACCTTCATGGTGACTTCAGGAACAATCACATGCAATCTAGCTACTTGTCTAGAGTGAAGAATGGAAGAATGGGAACACTGAGGCAGGAGAACCAAGCAGGACCCAGCCCAGACCAGAAAAAGTCTTGTGAGCCAAGTTAAGTCAGTTGGGCTCCACCTTCAATCAGAGTCCAGGCACAGGTTATGTGACCACTGAAACCTCTGCCAGACCTGAGATTCTCCTCCACTAGAAAAAAAAAAAAAAAGAAATGAAAGGATAAACTCCCAAAGACTTGCTCAAAGTTCACATTTCAAAATACACAGAAAAAATTTATCATTGAGCCACGTTGGAAGACAGATTTAAATAATTTGGTTAAATACATTTGAGAATATATAAATTGTTGAGTTTAGGTTTTACTGAAGAAACCCTTCTTTACACATTTCTACCAGAGAATCATGCTAATGTTTTGCAAATGCTATTTTATTATTTACTCTATAACATAAGCAAACAAACTTCTTTGCCTTTAAAATACAAATGCTACCATGGTTGATTGGAGTGTTCTTTTACCTTAAATTTCTTTTCCCAAAAATAATGGCAAAAATCTTATTTGTTTTAACTTGACCCATTTTTACAACCCAGCTTAATCATTTCACAGATTTCTCCTAGAAATAAATGGGCCAGTGGGTTAGATAATCCTGACAGATTTTTGCCATTCCAGTGACATATGTAAGAGACATCTTTGGTGAAATTGTATATCACATTTACTTTCTGCTCCTTCTTTTCTCCTAACAAACTCAGTTTTAATGTATTGGTAAGTAAAATATTATTAATTAAGGGCTGACAGAGTGGCTCAAGTGATAGAGCACCTGCTTAGCAAGCGTACTACCGTTCAGGTTTTCTTTAAAAAAAGACTGTCCTGTGACTCTTGACTAGTTTAGAGCAATTCTAAAATCATGTCAAGTTGAAATGAAATCTAGATGGGTCTCTGTCAGTGTCAGAAACAAGTGGGACCGACTACAGGGATTGTTGTAGCTTCAAAATGAGATGTCCCCCAAGTACTTATGTGTTAAGGTGTGGTTTTCAGTTTTACGGAAGTGATTGGATCATAGGGCTTTGACTTCGTAAGTGGGGTATTCTGTTGAAGAAGTCCACATTTGATGGCCCTACTGAGAGCAGTAGAGATTTAGGAGGTAGGACCCAGTTGGAGGAAGTATGTTATGGAGTGCACACTTTGAAGGGTGTGTTATTCTTGACCTCTGCCTGCCTGTCTCTCTCTGCTTGCTGTCTGGCATGTGACGAGCTGCTTTGCTTACTGCATGCTTTCTGCCATTGTGTTCTGCCTTACCATGCATGGCACCAGAAGCAATGGAGCCTAATGGCCATGGACTGAAACCTCTCAAACCATGAGCCTAAATAAACTTTTCCTCCTTTAAGTGGTTTCTCTTAGCTATAGTCACAGTGACGAAAAAATCTGACCAGCACGGGATGCTCAAAGATGATACAACATCAGAGAAAATTCTAGAAAAGGGAGGCCACAGGTAATGTGACTTCTTGGTTTCTAGTGCTGAGCTATTTTTCATAGTGCCAAACTCCCAATGTAGAGTCCTTTTATTTGGATTAATAAACATAAGTCCTCTCAGTGTTAATTCCCATAAAATATCTTCTGTATTTATTCATGGGCATGTAACAGTGTTTTGCTCCCAATTTTTGTTTTCTTACTTAGAGATCCCTTTTTCCTGATGTTAATAATTAACAGAGAACTAATTTATCCAAAATTTTCAAACTCAGTATACTTAAAAATAAAGTAGGTTCAAGGAGTTTATGTTTATGGTTTTATACCACCTTGTACCATGGGCTCTTTGGGAATACTTTGTTTTTTAATCTTCCTGGAGAAAAGTTGGGGACAGGACCCAACGTAAGTAAAAGCAAACCATCTTCATTTTACAATGCATGCTAGTTGTGATGAAAAAGTAAATGCAACAGATTGTTATTTATAAAAATTTACAAAAGTGATTATTCAAATTCCTGTTTAAAAGAAGCATAAAGAAAGAAACTCTAGATAATAAATGTTGTTGGCATTTATTGTTTATTTGTATTTGGTGCATAGTTTTCTTTGTGGTTTCATGCACTCTACACAATTAAATTAGAGTTACTTGGGGGAGGGTCAATTTTAATACTGTGATTTGAAAATCTATTGTAATTGCTTCTACATTTATGAAGTGATCTGTCACAATTTTTTGTTATTGAAGTTCTGTGCATTTTAAACTATGTCATACAAATAGTTATCTCATGTCTGGAAATAAGATATTTGTGCTGAAATGTAATTGGAGATTATCTAGTTGAATCTCCTCATTTTATACATAAGGATAAGTCCAGATAGGAGACCTTAATAAAATCTTGTTCTGTCTCTGTCTAACAGATTTCCTGTTTACCACTTCAATTCTTTTCATTTTTCATAAATGTTAATGTATAATTAGGATATTCCTAAATTTATAGCACTAGTTTGTTGATTTAGTCTGAGGTTTTTTCACATGACAACAATCACTAAGTTAGCTTTGGCAACTTTATTTCTCTTTGCAAGACAATTAAACAGATGAAGCTCTGATAGTTTAAGATTAATTGACTTTACATTAATGACAGAATCTGGCCTAGACCTTTGGGCCCAAGATTCTTGACTAGGAATATTCTGAATTCTTTTTACTATACTGAATGCACTTAATAAAATGTATCTCCTAACTTTCTTTGAAAAGGTGAGAGAGTGCCATTTACAACGACAATAATTACTCACTTTGATTCATTGATCAATGATTGATTCAACAAATATTTATTGATCACCTATCATATGATAGACACTGAAGATATAGCAGATAGGAAAGACATTCCTAGAGTTTGCATTCAAATGGAGAAGCAAATAATGAATGAGTGATGAACCAATGAAGTAATGAATTAATAAGCATGGGGAGTCTTCAGTATTAAGAAGAAGAAATAAAGGAGAGGAAGAAGATAAATGCTGGGGCACTGTTTAAAAGTGTAGCAGGAGACAGCACTGGTGACTCACATTTGTAATCTCAGCTACTTGGAAGGCTGAGATGTAGGAGAACTGAAGTTCCAGGCAATCCTGGGCAAAAAAGAAGTTCCTGAAACCCCATCTCAATGAAGAAAGCTGGGTGTGGTGGTGAGACCGTCATCCCAGCTGCTGAGGAAAGCCTAAAATAGGAGGAATGTGGTCCAGGACACCTGGGCAAAAAATGAGACTATATCTCCAAGATACAGAGCAAAAGGGGCTGAAGGTGTGGCTCAAGTGGTAGAGTACCCATAAAGCCCTGAATTCAAATCCTCCCCACCCCACCACAAAACATAAGAATAGGAAAGTTCTCCTCAGGAGATGACACTCAAATAGAATTGAAGGAAGGAAGGAAGGAAGGAGCAAGCCATGCAAATATCTGGGGAAAAAACATACGGGGTAAAGGACAAAGTAACATTCTTGCTCCTCTCCAAGCTCAGGGGCCTGATCTTCTGTAGGTATTAAAGGAGTATGAGCATGGCATCCTCCATGTGGATAGACTGTGCTTATGATGTATCAGTTGGGGACCAAAATTTGTAAGAAGGGCATCCTGGTCTCATCCTTTAAGGGATTACAAACAACAAATATTTTATATTTATTCACCACTACCACCACATAGACAACTGAAAATAATACTAAACTGAACCTCTAAGACTATTGAAATTAAAATGGCTTTTTTAATCCCTGCATTTTTCAGATTGCAAAGTTGTTAAGTCAAGCTTAGGACAGCTGTTGAAAGTGTTAACTATGGAAACAGGCTGTCAAGTTCAATTCTTAATTCTATAGCTTACTAGCTCTGCGACCTTGGACAAGTTAATTAGCAGTTTTCTAATCTTAAAATGGGAGCAATAGTAAGACCCTTCTCACCAACTGGTTGTAGCAACACAATGAATACTGTTTAGTATTCATAATGGTGCCTAGCACATGGTAAAGTTTCAGCAAATCTATCTTAGCATTTCTCATTTTCTGTGGTCCACTGATAAGCATATGCATCGGATGACATTCTTCAATTTGCCTAGAAGTGGCTCTACATTAGTTATGTAAGAGAACTGAAAGAAAGGATTAATTGGGGCCAGACTAAAATAATTGCTAATAAAGGCTTACAGAGTTTTAAAAACTAAAAATGTCATAAGGATGGCAGGGACTTGCAATAATTCTTTCAGGTGGGCTGATGGGTGAACCCAGTCACTGTGACCTTTTGGGTCATACACATTTGTTTTTTCTGTGTAATATTATATGTAGCTCTTACTAACCAAATTAGATGCTTTTGTAATATATTATTAATAATCTAGCTTATATTTATAAATTTATATTTAATAAGATAATGAAAAACCTCACATTTCTAAGTTTGTGTTTCAAAGCTTGTATAGAGTCACTTCCATTCTTGTATAAATTGTATGAAAAACTAATTTGAGGGAGCAACTTATGGTTTGAACAATGCTTGAAACCTTGACCACGATTACACACGTAACAACTGAGAGGGACCTGAGCGTACAGTCCTGCCTCATTCACTTATTAACCTTAATCAAATCACTTTTGGTCACATGTGAAATAGGAATGATACAACATTATTGATTTCTTACAAAGATTAAGAGACTTCTGCGTAAGTGCTGAAGTGGACTCTGACATGTAACTTACTCCATCACTGTTATCATTATTGCTATTTGCTGCTGCTCAGAGAACTGCATCACTATTTCCATTTCCAGAACTTTCTCCTAGTTCCTTTGTACATTTGTCTTAACCCACCCCAGAATAACATAATATTTCTAAGATTACTTCCTCTCAACTAGTTTAGTGAATCTTATTATTTGTTGAGTGCTAAGAATGCTGGGTGCCCTTATATACATGTTCTTATTTAGCCTTCCCATAGCCTGGCAAAAATAGTAGAATTTTTACACATAAATTATTTTTGTTTCAGAGGTTAGTGATTTTACCTCAGTCACTCAACCAGCAGATGGCAGAGCTGGCATTCAGTGACTTGTGCCTACATTAATTTTTTTCCTTCATTAAGGGGCGAGGGGGGAAGGGAGAGAAACCTAACGCTTATGTGTTCTAGTCAGCACATTTAGTTGTTCTTGGCTGCACTAGCCCAGGGGAGGACCTGTTTTTATCTTTCTAAATGTAAAGCCAACTCCCAGCTCTGTTCCTCAGGGTGTATTATAAGATATTTTTGTAAACTATGCTGAAATGATTATAGATCACAAAATAAAGTTTGATTTTAGTATGTTAAGTTGAAATACGTCTATGTCAAATTAAATGTCAAGTTAAAGAAAAATATATCAGAAGCTTAAGAAAATATGTCATATAAAGACACTGGACATTTTCTTTTCCTGTTTCAACAGATATGTCATTTCAGCACCAAAAGTATTCCATGCTGGGACATCTGAAAATGTTGTAATTCAAGTTTACGGCTACTCTAAAGCATTTGATGCAACGATCTCTATAAAAAGTTATCCAGATAAAAATTTTAGTTATGATTCAGGCTCTGTTCATTTATCTCCAGAAAATAAATTCCAAAACTCTGCAATCTTAACAGTATGTATTTATTCTTCATTTTCTCTATGTCTACCAAATATTTGTAGTAAAATATCTACAAAGTCTGAAGATTTATAACAAATTTTTTTATCATTTGTACCACTCTACCACAGTGGGATTATTAGACAATTATCAGTAGCTGATGATAGTTAAGTGAAATAGAAAATTCTAAAAAGAAGAATTGTGCTTACTTTTTGAACGATGCATGTAAGTATTCACATTCTTGTTGGAAGATAAAACTGTATGAACAAGAAAATATTTGGAGATGAACTGAAAATACTTTTTTTATGAAAACTATCATCACGAAGGAATAGAGAAATACAAATATGCATATGATGCATGGTTATTATTGAACATTTATTTAAACTCCAATATTATATAATTACATGCATGGCTACCAAAAGCAATGCAATTATTGCTTATTACATTGAATCGTTCTCAAATGACAACCCACAACAAACAGAAAGAACAAGCTTGATCAAATAACTTCCATTAAGACATTTTAGTATAGATTTGTTAGAAATGTACTTGCAACTCATTTCTTGTTACAAATTCTGACTACAAAGAACCAGAAAAATGTAAAAATATCAGATTTGGATGCAGCTCTTTAGACCAATCTTTCTTGAAAATGAGTTCTTTACAAAGAAATTACAAGTTGAAATTTTCTGAAAAGCTTAAATTTTAAAATTATTTTTTCAAAGCTTTGAATTTATTTTGTAAATTCATTTAGAATTTTTACATGTCTAAAATTCATAATGATAAAATTACACCTAATTTTAGGTTTATATATATTTAAGTTACATTATAAATGCTATTTGATTACATTACAAGTAGTAAAATGTTAATCCGGAGTGTCTTTCATATCTTTTATCCTTTAAAAGGGGTGCATATATAATTCATGTTAGAGAACATTGATCTAAATAAATTCTAACCAAACATTAAAGTTTTTGATAATAAATGTTCTCATTTCTTCTTTTTGATAGTACTGGGGTTTGAACTCAGGATGTTATGTTTGCTAGGGAATTGCTCTACCACTGAGTCACTGTGCCAATCCTTCATTTCTTAACAAATACTTTCACTTATTAAGTTTATTAAGAATTAGAATTCATTTCCAAAAATGTTATTTTCAGTAGATACTCTTATCTGATAATATGCATGATAGCCAGTAGTCACATGTGGCTGTTTGCTTTTCAATTTAAATCAATCAACTGTAACTAAAACTAAAAATTCAGTTCCTCAGTTGCACTAGCCAAATTTCAAGTCCTAAGTAGCCATGTGTGACTAGTGGTTGCCATATTGTACAGCACAGATAAAGATCATTTCTGTCCTCACAGGAAGTTCTATTGAACAGTATTTAGATGATTAAGAAAGTAGAATTAGGTGATGGAATCATAAAAATGGATACATACCATAAGCACTTAATTTTATTTTAGTATTATAAAAAATCTTTGTTTGCCAGTTGTTGCTTTATAACCTTACAATTCTATTCTTTTCCATCAACACTTTCTTTTACAGGTACAACTTGTACAATTTTGTGAAGGACAAAACTCAGTTTCATATGTGTATTTAGAAATTGCATCAAGCTACTTTTCTAAGTTGCAAAAAATTCCAATAATCTGTGATAATGCGTTTCTCTCCATTCAAACAGATAAATCTGTGTATACTCCAAACCAGTCAGGTAGAGTATAAGATGTTCTTTCTTTGTGGGAAAATTGACACCATATTGTAGAACTTCCTAACACCTGAAATTAAGTGGCGACAGATTTCCACCATGCTCAAAAGAGACTCAATTTCTAATGACTTTATGTGCTCAAATAGCATTTTAATTTTTAATTTATATTGAAATTGCTAAATAAATTGTAAAATCAGCAATTATATCATCTGCCCTATCACTTATTTCCAAGTAGAAGAGGGCTTTTTAAACATTGTGAAATGCTGTGTTCAAGCCTATTCATGAAACAAATACAAACTATTGAAAATACAATTTTGGCAAAGGGAAATAGTGAATTATTAAGCCATGTTGATGAAAAATTTCACAGACTGACCTAAACTCCAAATAGGAAAATAAAGCCAATCTGAGATTAGATGTTTCAGCAGAGAATAAGCTAGATCACAGAAATGTGTGGATATTAATTCTTTAAGGTCATCAACCTAAGAAAGTGTCTGTTAAATCAGTTTTAAGGAGAAAGGTAGAAAAACCACTCAAAACCCTGTGATTGAAGAATGCCTAGAATTACTCCCAATGGATTGAAAGGAAGACAGAAAAATATCAATACTGCCCAATACATGCTCACAAAGCCTTCAATTTTTCCATGTCTCCTTTTGTCTTCCTGAATTTTGAGCACATAGGAGACAGAATTATAAGAGACGTGTATGTGGAAGGAGGAGGCTATGATGTTTCATTAATAATAGTATCACAGAAGAATAGAGAAAGGGAGGCAGAACCAGCATGTTTTGTTGAAAATTTTGCACACCATAGATACCTTCTAAATGTTGGTTGACTTTGATGGAGCGATGGTGAGGTGGGGCAGGGCTATATGACTGCCATTCAGTAGGACACTTGTTATACGTAATGACTCAGAAATGGCAGGCTTAGAGAAAGGGAGGCTATTGCTGCTAGCTGAGACAGAAGGTCATTGCCAGAACAGTACAACCTCTTCACTTCAAGAAGATGATCTGGTATACAAGATAATAGTCTGTTCCTAAAAAGATTGTGCCCTTTTAAACTTAGTCATACCTAGAAACAAGCATTGCCCTCCCTCTTGTCCTCCTCCTATCTTAGAGGATGCTTCATTGATTGGGCCTTCTATACACTACCTGTCACCTAGAGTCATAAGTCATTGTCCAACAAGTATTATCCTCAGAGCCTGGGACCTTTCTTAGTTATCAAGGCTTTCCTTAAGAGCTCAAATTTATTTGTCTGTCAGAACATCATTGTAAGAAGATAAGGTATCCTCACCAATTCTTCTCATAGAGAAAAACAAGAGAACTTCCTCTAAATATTGACCCATTGGTGAAAACTAGTAAAATACTGCAGTTGAAAAGCAGACTCTGGAGTCATACTGCCTAGGTTCAAATCCCAGCTTGAGCTGTTATTAGCAATGTGACTAAGTATGAATTAGATTCTTATAGCTCCAATTTCCTCATCTATAAAATAAAGATAATATTCCAGCCAGCTTACCTAACAACAGTTGTGGAATTCATATGTGTAGAGCACTTTAAATAAAACTTACTAGCAGTACATATTAGGCACTAAGAAGGTGTTTTCTGTTATTCCCCAATCTATGGCACAAAGCCTTGTGTACACCAAGCAATAAAAGTTACTTTAAAATAATTTTTAAAAATCAATTAAATCTTGCTGTTCATAGCTCTGATGTCCTGAGTGACACATTTCATCTGAAGATCCTTGAGGGATTTTTTAGTGTGAGCATGTTTAGGATAAAGGTTTAACTTTCCAAGGTTTTATAGGATAAAGGATTCAGAATATTGGCCAAATTCCTTCAGTTCCATGCAGCCTGTGTCCTGCCCTCTTCCCCAGCTTCACCATCTGCCTCATCACCCTTCAGCTGTGGACTCAGCCAAAATGACCATGGGACAGTTGCTTTTTTCATCATTCTCTCATCCTTCTAGAGGCCACTGCCTGTGATGTTGACTCTGCCTGGTACATTCATTTGCTCTTCCTTTGCCTTGTTAACTCCTTCGCCTCCCTTACATGAGACCCTGTGAACAGCAGCATTCCCTGATGCCCCTCACTGCTTCCAATATCCCTCCTCTACTCTCTCAAAATGATAGGTAGGCAAGGCTGGACATGGTGGTTCACACCTATAATCTGAGCTACATGGGAGGTGGGAGGTGAAGGTAGAAGAATCTCTGTCTAAGGATGGCTGGGGCAAAAAGGCAAAAGACACTGAAAACAAAAGGACCGGGAGCTTGGGTCCAGTGGTAGAGCAATTACCTAGCAAGTATGAGGCTCTGAGTTCAATCCCAAATACCAAAAAAAAAAAAAAAAAATAAGTCAAGCAGATGCCCTTGTAGCACTTTGTCCCCTGGAATTTTAGACATGGTTGTGTTTGCCCCTCTCTGCACTCCATTAGAAAACATCCATGTCTGATTTATTTCACTGCTTACTGTATCTCGGCACCTAGCACATAGAAGGCATTCAGAATTTTTTCAAACATTAGCCATATCTTGATCCAAAAAGTTCATTGATCTTGCATCTGATGCACCATTTCTGTTAAGACAAGATTACTATTCTAACCTAACCACAAATAACATTAAAAACTAGACAGATAGTAGTCATAGAAATGATAATGATACACATTTATTGAGCTATACAACAGTGTTAGTTCTCACAACACTATCAGGAGATACCAGTGTTCCTGTTTTGCCAATAAGCTATCTACGTTTAGAGGGATTCTGCATCCTACTCAGGGTCACGCTAGAACACGGAAGAGACAGGAGTGAAAACAAAGTATTGAACGTCAAGGCCGGTGCTCTTCAGTTTTCAACATTCTGCCACTGATGGTTTCCAGGGAAGCTAATGCCTGGAACAGGGGTGTCCATAAGGCAGGAGGGAGGACTTGAGAAGGTGACAGGTGCAGAGAGCAGAATGTGGGCGATGTACTGATCCTACTGCTTTCATCTTGTGGTCTTAGTAAAATGGGTTTCAGTGGGTTTTCCTTGTGCAGTGTTGTATAATACGGACCCTCATAAAGGTACTGGGCTCATGGTGCTCTTCGGTTTGCAATGTGGATAAAGTTATGACAATGCAATGATTTGAGCATCAGCGAAACTCTCTAAGAGTGATGATCATTGTTGGAAGGAAGTAGATCAGTATGTAACAAACAGCTCCGAGGTAAATGCTTTTGTTTAAAAAGCAGGAGTCCATATGGGTATGGTGGTAAGTTCCTGTAAAACCAGGATTCAGGAGGCTGAGGCAGGAAGATCACATGTTCGAGGCCAGCCTGGGATACATAGTGAGACCCTGTCTCAAAAATACAAGGTCTACAAAATAAAAAAGTAGGAATCTACTAACTGACAGAAGGAAATACAAGAAAACTAACAGCACTGGTCCCTGCCATTGTTGTTTTAATAAGTAGAGAACAATTGTAGCATCTGGCTCAATAAATGTAACAAAAACATACAATTCAAAGCTGCCTTTTGCAATCAGAGCTAATTTAGGGTCTGGTGGGTTTCCTAAATAGAAGAGTGTATTATAATCTGTGACTAAAACTACCAATTTTCCATTAAAATCTTTAACCCTGATGTAAATATAACCATATGGTAGATGTCAGTATCTTGCTAGTCTTGATGAATCATGGCCTAATTATATAGATCTAATTAATTTTGTATTAAGGATGTGTTCCCACAAATTTGTACAAAATTATTTTAATGTATTCTTTTATTTTTTGGCTATACTGGGGTTTGAACTAAGGGCTTCATGCTTGCAACGCTGATGCTCTATCACTTAACCCATGCCTCCAGCCCTTATTTTCAAATAGGGTCTCATGTCTTCACCTGGGGATAGTTTAGGCTCTTTCAATCCTCCTACCCGTGCCTCCCATGTACCTGTGAAACACTACACCTAACTTATTTACTGAGATGGGGATCTCATTAACTCTTTTTCCACACTGGCCTAAAACTGCCATTCTCCTGCTCTCTGCCTGCTAAACAGCTGGAACTACAGGCACATGTCATCACATTCAGCCTTTACATAAATATTTTAATAAAGTGGCCCATACTTTCAATTCCCTAGAAATAGCTTTTTAAAAACAATCACAGGGGATTCTCTTTACAATAAAAAAATGTTTGGTCATATATGTTTGTTAGCTAACATTTTCTTTTTTTAAAAAAAATGTGTATTTTTGTCTATAGATTGTGTACATAGTTTTTAAATAACAGTTATCTTGTTATGGATGATCATTTTAAGAAATCAAAGCACAGTGTTCAATTGAGTTTTTGATGATATCGATTATTCTTACAGTAAAGGTTCGAGTTTATTCATTGAATGATGAAATGAAGCCATCCAAAAGAGATACAATTTTAACTTTCATAGTAAGTATTTTATTTATTTAAATAGTATGCTAAATTATTTTATATTTTCCAAGTGGTTTTTAAACATCTACTATGATTACAACATTTAGAGCTATGCCTCTGCAAAGACATAAAAATCCCATAAAATTAAATCTGAACAAGTTGAAGGATTTTTAACTAAACCATTTAAGTACATCCTTGGTGATTTCTTTTTTTTAAAGCACAGCCATCAAGAATTACTTGAATCTCTATACGTGCAAGATTTTTGATTTGTATAATTTCAGGAAAAGAATTACAATCCATAGTACTTATTGTTGGGGACTTTAGAATGCAATGACTAATACACTAACACATGTAGAAAATTTTGCTGAAGCATGAAATCAGCAGTTATCAACCAGATATCAGGCATGACATATCACAGATGATATGAGATAAACTTCCATGTCCTTATCTAGTTTGTAATAAACTCCCCTGATTTTGCCCAGTTTACAAAAGCTAAGACCTTTTTTGGGGAAATAAAATGTCACAATTCATCATAACAGCTCACTTCACTGTGGGCTGTGGTACCTCTTCTCCTGCACAAATGAACATAAAATATCCATGCAGAACAGAAGATACTAAAGAACAAAACCATAGTAATATGGTTTACATACTATACACAAATAAATTAGGCATTAAGACAATGACACAGGAGCTCAGAGGGAAAATAAACCTGAGGGAGATTGATGGCTAATACAATCCTTCTCTGAAAAGGAATGGATAAAGAAAACCTTGAGTTGGATCTTAATGACAGGAATTAACACAGGTTCTTTTAAATAATGAAGACCGTCCTATGTAAGAAACAGCATGAATTAATTTATAAGAGCAGGAAGAAAAAAGGAATAGAAAACAGACAAATGAAAATTGTATATAAACTGACTGAACTTAGACTACGCAAGGTCAGTTCAAATGCTTTTTTTTTTCCGATCAGAGAATACCAGGGTTAGGGAGGGCATGAGGTCTTTATCCCATGCCTTCCATTGAACCTGAGTGAAGCAGAAGAATGGATGCCTGTCATCCTGTTTAAAAGCTTCCGCATAGAGAGAGGGTTGGGGAGCTCATCCCAAAGCCACAGGGAGTTGGTATTCTGTGAGGAGAACTTGAGAAAAATGTCTTAGATGGATTGTGCACCACTTAGGATGGGATGAAGAGCAGTCAGGAAGAATTTTAGCTACAAGTGTCTTGTTCAAAAGAGGCTTTTGTATGTTTTACAATTTTTAATTCAAGAAACAAATATCTTGACATTCCAACATGAATTTCAGTCATGGTAAATGGTGCTGTTTTTAAGTTAAGGCTGAGCTGGATCTCCATGTGTAGTTCAAAAAAAAAAATCAAAACTTCATCTCAATAATTTGCTAACCTAAACACAAAACGATGCTTTTGGGGAAACTTTATGGGAACTTTCTTGTTCATTTAACCATTTAGAGGTTTGCATCAAGCTGAAAATGTCACATCGTACATTTATCAGTCTAGCTAAAAGTACAATTTATAGAATATTTCCTTTGGAAAACTTCAAATGCACGTATCTCAAAATTAGAATCTGGTATTTATAAAGCCTGCTAAGTTCATATTTGACTTATTAAAACATTAAGGTTGATAGAACAATAATGTCGCCATTTGTAAATCAGCGGCTATTTTGTCCTCAGGCCTCACTTGAGAAATGGAGCCATTCCCAATAACAGCTCCGCCCTACCGGAGACTCCCGCGCATGCGCTAACTTCCTGACCTTCCCTCTTCTATAAAAGCCACACCTGGCCCAGAGTTTGTGCTGTGCCATCTTCCCCCGGCCAGCCTGGCAGATCAGGCCTGCCATTAAAACTTGCTCTTGGATGTGAGACTTTTCTCATGAGCTTTCTTTGTGAGCAGCGTTTTTCCTAACAAAGGTATTTTGCTGTTTACATTTTGTGACACTTCTTTTAATCATACAATAGAGCGGAGACTTTTCTGGATAATGAGGAGAGATAGGGAGTTTCCAAAAAGAGGGAGGGAAGTGGCTTTATTTTTTTCTATTTTTTTTTAAGGAAGTGGCTTTAAATGAACTTTGTCTTCCATAATATTTAATCAAATTTGGTCTTTCATATTTAATTTGAAGACATGGGTAGTTTTGGTAGTAGATAATTTTATAATCAAAGATCATATAATCAGTTAAATTTTTTCAAATGTGGCTTCTGCAATTTGAGAGCATCCGGGATTTGAATGTGTCTCCCAGATGTTCATATGCTGAAATTTAGTGTGGAGATAGATAGTGAGAGGTTTTTAGGACCTAGAGCGCTACCCTTATGAATCAATTAGACCATTCTCACGGAGTGAGTTAGCTCTCTTGGCGTAGCTTTGTCGTAAAAACAAACCTTTGTAGGCACTTACCTCCCCTTTAAGTTTTCCACCCTAAGATGAAGTGGGACAAGGGTCCTGTCAGAAATAAGGGCCATCTTTTTGTACTTCCAGGCCTGCTGAGCTGTGTGCCAAATAAATCTGTTCTTTATAAATTACCTAGTCTCAGGTATTCTTTTACAGTAATGAAATGAACCAAGACCAGTGTGCTTTCATTCAAAGGATCCCCAAGGATCAGAAGTGGACATCATAGAAGAAAATGATGATACTGAAATTTTCTCTTTTCCTGACTTCAAGATTCCACCTAATCCCAAGTATGTAAAAACACTTGTTAATGAAGTTTTCTCTAGAAAGCATATCTGGAACTTTTGTTGTGAAGCAAACAAGCAGTCAAATGGAGCTACCTAATGTTAAGTGGTTTCACAAATGTGGATATGCAAAATCTTACCCCCATGCTGTTTTTTTTTAATTAGTGTATATAATTGTGCAAAGTAAGGGGTTTCATTGTGGTATTACTGTTCATGCATATACATATGCACTTTGATCATCTTTACTTCCTATTAGTCTTCCTTGTCCTTTCACCTCCCCCTTGTCCACCTTCCTTCCATCTCCCTGGTAGTCCCCCTTTTACTTTCATGACCTTACCTTTTTGTTTGTTTGCTTTGGTTTCCCCCGCCAGCTTCCACAAATGAGAGAAAACATGGTATTTGTCCTTGTGGAACTGGCTTATCTCACTTAATATGCTGACGTTCAATTCCATCCTTTTTCCATCAAGAGACATAATTTCATTCTTCTTTATGGCTGAGTAAAACTCCGGAGTGTATTTCACAGAGTTTTTTTTTTTTACAACATTTTCCTTCCTTCCTCCCTCCCTCCCTCCTTTCCTCCCTCCCTTCCTTCCTGTGGGATTGGATTGAATTTAGGACTCTGTACTTGGAAAGCAGGTTCTCTACCACTTTAGCCACACCTCTAGTCTTTTTGTTCTTGTTTTTTTGAAGATGGGGTCTCACAAACTATTTACCTAGGCTAGCTGGCCTTGAAATGCAATCCCTTTTTTTGGCAGTAGTGGGGTTTGAACTCAGGGCTTCTCGCTTATAATGTAGGCACTCACTTGAACCACACTTCCAGTCCTACATCACATTTTCTTTATTCATCCATTGATGAGCATCTAGGCTGATCCAACAGTTTCACTATTGTGTACTGCCCCAATAAACATAAGTATGCAGGCATTTTTCTATGAAGCTGACTTTGAATTTTTTGAAACATACTCAGAAGTGGTATGGCTGGATTGTATGGAAGTTCTATTTTTAACTTCTTAAGGGATCTCCATACTGATTTTCATAGTGGTTGGACTAGTTTATATTCCTATCAGTGATAGATGAGCGTTCCCTTTCCCCTGCATCCTTGCTAGCATGTGTTTCCATTTGTTTTCTTAATGATAGCCATTCTGATTGGAGTGAGGGATAATCTCAATATAGTTTTATTTTACATTTCCCTGATGGCCACAGATGATGAACATATTTTCATGTTCCTATTGGCTATTTGTACTTCTTCCTTTGAAAAATGTTTAGTTCATTTGCCCATTTATTGACTGGATAATTTGCTTTTTTTGTTATTTTTTAGACTATATAAATGTATTCTAGATAGTAATCTCTTGTTGTCTGCCAAAGATTTTTCTCCCACTCTATAGGCTGTCTCTTCACTTTGTCCATCATTTCTTTTGTTATGAAGAAGCTTTTTAATTTGATACAATTCTATTTGTCAATTCTTGTTCTTATTTCCTGAGCTCAGGAATGTGTTTCCTGTGCCTATATCTTGAAGAATTTCTCTTATGTGTTGTAGTAGTTTCAAGTGTTGCATTAAGGTCTCTGATTCATTTTGACTTGGTTTTTGTACAGGGTGAGAGAGGGATCTAGTTTCAGTCATTTACATGGAAATACCCAGGTTTTCTAGAACCATTTGTTAAAAAGGCCGTCTTTTGTCTAATGTACACTTTTGGCTTATTTGTTGATTATCAGATGGGAGTACCTGCTTGTGCTTATTTCTGAATCTTCTATTCCATGCCAGGTGTAAATGTCTGTTTTTGTGTCAATACCATTTTGTTACTACAGCTCTGTAGTGTAATTTAAAGTCAGGTATTGTGATACCTCCAGTTTTTATTTTTGCTCAGTGTTGCTTTCCTTATTTGGGGTCTTTTGTATTTATATATGTATTTTAGAATTGTTTTTTCTATTTCTGTGAGGAATTTCATTGGAATTTTGATGGGGATTGCACTGAATTTGTATTTGGCTTTTGATATCTCCATTTTAAGAATATTTAATTCTGCTAATCCATGAACATAGGAAGTCTTTCCATCTTTGAATTTTTTTTTTCAGGGGTACTGGGGTTGAACTCAGGGCCTTGCATTTGCTAGGCAGCAGCTATGCCACTTGAGCCATGCCCCTAGCCATTTTTACTTTAGTCATCTTTCTAATCAGATCTCACATTTATACCCAGATCAGCCTGGATTGCAGTCCTCCTATTTATGCTTCCCCTACAGCTGGAATGACAGGCACATACCACCATACTCAGATTCTTTTCTGCTCTTGTTCGTTTAATGTTCTAAAAGCCTCCTGTACCATCTGTTTTCCAAGATTTGGGAAGTCTTCTTATATTATTTCATTGAATATTTTTTATGCCTTTATCTTAGAACTCTTCTATGTCCATTATTCATAGATTTGGTCTTTTAATGGTGTTCCAGTAGTATCACGTGTTCAGTTTGTAGTTTATTTTTTATCTTTATTATTATCTGAATATTCTAATTCATCTACCTGATTAAAATTCTAATAACCTCAGAGGAATAAAGGAGCAAAAACAATGCTCATGAGTTAAGAAGGGTAGGAATGGAAATAAAATGGAGTAATAATACTAGCGAATAGTACAAGAAGTACGGAGAAATAAAATATGGAAAGAGAAAAGGGACAAGGGAAAAAATGAGAAAGAAGAAGGGGATGAAGAATAAAAAGATCCAGCTAGCAGTAAAGTGAGAAAGAGAAAATTACTACTACTACTAAAAATAAATACCAACAAACACATATGCAACCCAAATCTATGGAAATAAGATCTTGTAGAGAAAGAAGAAAAGAGAAGAGAAAGAGCGAGAAAACTGATCTAACTGAAGACAGACAGAGAATAGTGATTTATGGAGGGAGAAAAGAGAAGGAGTAAAAAGAGAAGATTGAAAATTACAAATTGAAAGCTAAGCGTGGTGGCTCTCACCTACAATTCAAGCACTTGGGAGGCTGAAGCAGAGAGACCACAAACCCCAGTCGGACCTGGGCCCTAAGAGGTGATCCTATCTCAAAGACAGAGCAGTAACAACACACACAGACATACACAAACAGAACAAGACAAAACACATCAAAGAAAGTTGTTTAACTTAAAGAAAGTTAAACAAAGAAGCCATATGAGAAAAGTATAAAAACAAGTAGGAGAGAAAAAGAAATTGTATAAAAATCTATGTGTGGTTATTTAAACTTGTTGTTGCCTCCCTTTTCCACTGTGTGGCATTGGGCACACTTCTGAACAAAAATTTTCTTGCCTTTCTCAACATCACCCATCTTTAATTCACTCTTTTGTTGCTGTCACAACGATGGACTCTGGTTGGAAGCTGGACACCCTGCTCTCCAGTCTTATTCACTTTTAATCCTTAGTGCTTAATCTACTGTTTGGTAGATATTTTTGAATGAAGGTTGGTAAATAGGCTAACTTAAAAAGACACATTTCCTCTTTGAACAAACAATATTTTGTCTCCAAGCATAATTCTATTTATGTAAGATGTGAATTTTATCATTTACATGATGTTTCTAGAGACACTATAATGAATTTTCTACTATATTATGGATGTTAGTATTGTTAGCATAATTAAGTTTCAAGATTAAATAAATTCTTATAATCAGTTCTTCAAAGTTAATGAGTATATTAAGACAAAATACCTGGAAAAATAATACAACACATGAAAAACTGATTGCTAAACAATTTCTGTTATCCTGAAAATGCTCAATCTTTTCTGTTTATTGCTTAAACATCCCTTTCCAATTACTTTTTTACTTAGGATGGATGTGTGTGTGTGTGTGTGTGTGTGTGTGTGTGTGTGTGAATGTATTCTAAACTCTTTTTTATTACATGTTTTATTAACATGTAATAGTTGTATGGAGAATGCATTGTGATATTTACATATGTACTTGTGATATATCTTAGTTAGATTTACCCCCTCATCTGACTCCTTCTTGCTCCCTCTTAGAAGAATTTCATCAGGTTTCATTTCTTCTGTTCTCACATGAATACAAAATATATCCACCATATTCACCCTTATCTTATGCCCTTCCCCCCCCACAGGTACCCACCTCCAGAAAACACCTGCTTTACCTTCCTGTCCCTCATTTTTTTTTAAAGTATACATTGATAGTCCAAGGGGGTTTTGCCCTGGCATTTCAGACATGTATATATTGTGCTTTAATCGGATCAAATCCCCCTCTCCCATCACTTGCTCTTTCTCTATCACCCTGCTCCCCTGCAAAATAAGAACTTATTAGAATTTCCTCTGGGTAATTAGAAATATTTGATAACATCTGTAATTTTAAATATTTTCTTTTCACAGGTGTGGTGTATGGACGATTAAAGCTAAATATAAAGAGGACTTTTCAACAACTGGAACCACACACTTTGAAATTAAAGAATATGGTAATTTCTGACAATTACAAGTTCACCGATAAAGAGTTAGTGTTTTTGCAGTAATTCTTTTTGGTCACCTGCCTAATGCAAATCACTCCCAGATGCACAGGAGGCACCCTGCTGGTATGGCTGGAAGTTCTGGTTGGAACAGAGATGGGGAAGAAGTGGTGGTTGTTTAAATGGCCATGTTCTAGTTCCACCATCCCCTATTAACCTTGAGGAAATGGACCAACCTCTCTGGACTTGTGTTCCTCCTCACGTTGCTGGAAGAGATCTAGTCCCCCCTTGGGACTTGTTAAGGTCCTCTCTAGCATAATGACTTGAGGAGAAACAAACAATTATAGGTGAGGTAAATGGAACCCAGTAAGACAAACACATGACTCACTCATATTAATAGATGTAATGCACAATCCCTAATCCAAAGCAGGCTCTCGATAGATTTGTCAATGAATGATTTGTGAATCCATTTCCATATGAATTCATGGATTTTTTTTTAGATTTTATGTCCTTTTTACCATTTCTGTTGCCTCTATTTTTTGTATTTTTAAACAGATGAATCTAAGGAAATTCTCAGGCCCAGAAGAGATCTGCAGCAGAAAATAAAAGAAAAAGGTATTCAAAAAGATTTCTATGGAATAAATAGAGATTTTTTAAACCTGTTGAAATCACCATGAGAAGGGGACTAAGGTAGAAAGGAGAAAAATAGGGGGCATGAATCAATTTGGGCTATAAACACATGTAAACATGGCAATGTCACAATGAAACTCCCTGTGTAGCTGCTATCTTAAATAAACAAAAATGCCTTTTTTTCAAAAACAGAGAGCAGGAAGGTAAACAGATCCTGTCTGGGGGTTTGTACCAGTGGGAAGGGGGAGGATATAAGGAAAGGGTGTAGGAGGGCGAATGTGGTGGAAATATATACTCATGTATGAAAATGGAAAAATAAGACCTATTGAAACTATTCCAGGAATGGGGGAGGGGGTGAAAGGAGAATGATGGAGGGGGTGAATTCAACTATGATATAAGAACTTCTGGAAATGTCCCAGTGTACCCCCAGTACAACAATAATATAATTTAAAACAAGTAGTCAGTTCAACAAAAAATGTAAGCTAAAAAGAGTAATAAAATGCTGGCAGTAAAAAAAAAGACTTATGATTATAAAAATGTTATGATCATAACATTCAGAACCCGTAGAAAATTAAACATTATAGAATTCCCATTAATTTAAATAGGATGGGTGTAAAAAGATATGTGTGGGCATCTAGCTCATCTCAGTGAGAAAGGCTAAACCAAATAAACCTAGCATTTCATTCTCCATAGCTGAAATCTGAGGAAAGTGGGTTTGTATTGTTGTTGTCTCTACAAGTACATCTTCTCTACAAACTTCATCTACCAATTGAAACAATAGTCTTCCATTTTATTTTGAAATTTTTATTTTATATATTTAAGTTAATAAAGTTTTGACTACTCTTAAGAAATTAAGTAAATGGGAAACATTTAGATTATCGGTAAGTGGATGTCTCAGGTAGAAAGAACATCATGGGACTCTGTCTTGAGTTCAGACAACCATCGTACGTATTCCATTTGTATGGACCATAACAGCATATGTTCCCCTGCATGTGAGTTACTTAACCTTCATTCTACATTGTAATGATCTGACAAGGGAGGCACTGATTAACCTGAGAACTTTTATTTTTTTATTTATTTTTTATTTTTTAAATTTTTATTGTTTTATTATTCATATGTGCATACAAGGCTTGGGTCATTTCTCCCCCTTGCCCCCACCCCCTCCCTTACCACCCACTCCGCCCCCTC